ATGTGGTTTTTTTTTTTAGTTCATCCCTGCCGGGGCCCCGTCGAAACTGTCGAATCGGGCCCCGCACTTCCTAAAGCCGGCCCTGGTACCATTCCCATCATGGTAGCTGAGTACACCCCCCCACACCCCCCTAGTCTCTCTGGCTTCATTGAGCAGGTTAGGCCTAATGTATTTGAAGGCTTTTTTTAGTGTGCAAGTCCCTCTTTAGGGGCAGATTTTCACTTTCTCTTCCCCTTTCCATCCACTAGCAAATCCTCTGGGAGGTAAGTTGCAGAGGTACAAGGCAGCCACAACTACTTCTCCACAGAGGTGGCCAGAGCCAGTCCGAGAAGTTTTGCTGCCCACAGCAGAAAATATTTTTGTCACTTCTCACACACAGAGTTAAATATTTTACACTTGACTCATAGTAAATATTACAGAATCAAGTAAAGTCTCTCATCATTGTGCATACATGTTTATACTGAAAATACATATGAATTGTTATAATTCCCTCTGGGACACGTGAACTAAGAAATAACTTAGAAATAACACATTAGTAATATCTCTTATTTATTTGTCTTTTCTTTTGGATGATGTTGATTAAGCTTTTTGTTTTTCCATTTTTTAAATTTCCTTTTGTGGCTATGTAATAATTAATATCTGTGTTTGTTTGCAGAGTGGGTAGGTGAAGTGGAGGAACAGAAGCAACCAGAAATGAATAATTAACCTGGCCATTTCAATTCCCACATTGTTCAGCATTTAATAATGTACCTTGTGACAGGAACCACTGGTTTTATTAATAGTTTACATATGGGTTCCATGTGGGTGCTGATCTTTCACATTGTTAAAATAGCTAACATATGTTTTTTCCCACATCTTCTACAGGATATTGGTTTAGCATTTTTTTAAAAATGGCAAAATCTGCTGGGCAGACTATGAGCATTTTGTTTAATAGACTAATTCACACAGTTTTAGTAGCTAAATAAATGATGGCTTCTATCTAATCAGTATTCAACCTGGGATTTGGATAGTGAAGTCGTCCACTGTAGAGTGCGGTGTCTAACACAGTGCTCTCAAAAATAGAATAAATTGCATAATCATCACAAAAATTTTAAATACCACATCCTAGTCTATTATCCCTGTTCTCTTTCTGTCCAATTTATATTACAAGCTTCTTCAGGCAGGGACTGTTTCTCATGTTTTATACAGCACTGATCACACTGTGGGTACTTTTAGACAATTGAGAGACATGAGAGAAGTGTGAAGACTTCTAGTTGCACAGAAATGTAATAAGAGCAAACATTAGGGGATAGAGGGAAGTCAGTAAGAAGATTGGATGTTTCTAGGGATTGGTAATAGAGGCATGAGAGCTCTTTGATTTCTAGACTTCTAATTCAACTCCAGATGGGTAAATGAGTGAAGGGTGTTACCATTTCTAATGGCTGTTCAAAAGCCACATAAAATAAATTGGTAATCTCAGTTCAGTTCCTCATGATTCTGTCTCTACACCAGAAAAAACACCAAGTCAATTAGTACTAATTTGCTCTTCCATTGGTAGTTTCAGAAGAGCTCAACAAATGGATGGGCATGGAGACTGAACTACCTTGTTATTTTTGGTCATAGTTTGTCTAGGTCAAGGTTGAGTCAAACTGTGGAACATGGTGAGGAAGTCTGTCCTCCTGTATCTGTTCTGTGTCTAAAGAAAGTATAGTTCACCCTTTAAACTGTAAATCCAGCATCTTTTGCCAGTACCACATTCATTCCTTTTTTAAAAAAGAAAAACTGCTTGAGTTCTATCCAGAACTAAATGTACTAGAGAAGCAATTTTATTCCCTTATAAAAAGGACATTCTTAGAATATATTCTAAGAATGTAAGCAGTGCAGGAGGTGAACAATATCCAAAACATTGTATAAAGCAGTTACAAAACATTATTTTGGCCAGAATCCAGGTAAAAAATCTGTTAGCTATTCCAAAATGATATGAACATCGTCTCATAACTGACTTTAGAGAACAGAATTGAGAATATGCTTAGGGCTGGGAGATGGATAATTTTATCCAGTATGTCATGACCAAATTTTGAGGACAGCATGTACGTGTCTGTGGGGGAGAAACCTTCTCTGAGACAGCTCAATTTAAAATGACCTCATCTAGAAGAAATCCAAGTACCATATGTTCAACTGGCCTGAATTCAGTTCAGTAAGGGTTTTCAAATGCAAATATTTTTGAGAATCAACCTTAGCGTAAAATGGCTGCAAGAAAAATCTCCTTCTATGTCTTGTTTTGTTCGTGATAATTTTTAATCTGCTCCAGACAGTTGTTGAGATCCAAAACACAATAGCCTTAGGCTGAAAAGAGACAAATATAATATTATAACAGCAATTTACTGTCCCTCGGCCAATTGCACACTATCTAAACTGAGACAGGAAGCAGGGGATGGAGAAGGATCAAGATACCTGTGCTTTTTATATGCCGGTAAAACAGAAAAAAACACAAACTTTCCTGGAATATAGAGGTTTTATAACATTGTGACTTTCAACATATGCAATCTAGACATGACATACATCACTTTACACCAGTTATAGTGAATGATATATTTTTCATTAGTAAATTGTGGCCATAAATGCAGCTACTGATTAACAGCAATGGTAAATGAAGTGTTAATCCCCAGCCCAAAAGACATTTTGGATTGGGGGATTAACACTTTATTTACCATTGCTCTTTGTTTCTCACCCTATTGCCAACATTTAAAAAAAAAAAGGGGGGTGGGGAGGGGGGAGCTTTGTTTAAAACTAATGCTCCTAATGAGCCTCCTCCCCAAAAAAACATTTAATACTGAACTAAGATGTGCTGTTATTTAAGAAAATAGGTGCAGCCATTTCAGGGAAGCCATGCTTAGTTACTCTCCTGAGGCTATGGCCTTAAGTGTTCTTGATGATTCAGTACATGGTATTCCACTCTAACGGCCTGATCCAAAGCCCATTGACATTTGTCTTTCCACCAGGTACTTTCAAAAAACTTCAGCTACTCTCATCCCTTTAAAAAAAAAAAATACTAGTGTGTGCTCATACCCTAAAAACACATACTCAGATTTTATACTACAATCTGCAAGGGCCTGGAATAGTAAAGAAATACTTTCCCCAGTTTTGCTCTTAACACTGACATTCACCTGCACCCCTTTTGGTGGTGTGATTGAGCCTATACATTTACTCTAATTGGGAGCTCAACCATAAAAAGTTGACACAATACCCTAGAATAACAAATGTTGATAAAGGGAAAAGCATGAAAGAGAGACTGAAGTAGTCCAAACAACAAGGCCTACTGGTATAACTCGGAGCATGTTAAGATCATACTTTGGTAAACAAGAAAAGTCTAGAACCAAAATAAGAAATCCAAAATTGGTGTGTCAGAAACTACAACTAATTTTGTGCACAAAATAATGAGGGGATGGGCAGCCCCCACACTACCACTAATTAAAGAAAAATTGGCTATTGAAGCAAGCGTCATGATCATGGCTGCCACCCCCAACCAATTCCTGGGACCCCAGGCCTGCATCATCATTATCCTGAGAGATGCCCTGACCAGGCCAGAGAGAAGGACCCAGCTGATACTGACGCCTCTACCAGCTCTCACTAAATCTCAAACACCACCTGGGATGAAATAAAATTGGACTTTTGGATTGGGATTTCCTTCAAAAAACTCTCTCCCACTAAAGGGAAAGGAAACAAGGATGTTGTTAAATCTTTTATTTAAATAATTTACATTTCAAAGGCTTTAACTGTTTTTCCTTCTTTTCTTTATCTTTAATAAAAGGTTAAAAGGATTTTTAATAGTGTCTTTGCCATGGTGTTAAGCAAGCTGAGGTTGCTGAATACCAAACCCCGAACCTTGTTTAACACCGTTCCATGTTGGACAGTGACTGGGTTATACTAACATCTTTGGGCTGCTATATTCTGTCTAAATTTAAAAAGGGGAGAGTTGGGGTTGAAGTGACTACAAATGTTGGAGTTTTTTAAAGGTAAAGAAGTTAGTTTTACTCTGAATTATCAAAAAAAAAAAAACCCACCCTTAAGATCCCCAAGTTTGGGTTCCAATAAGTGTAGATAACAAACTTTGGGCTATATCCACAGATGCATCAGCACTGCAGCCTCTGCAGTTGGTGAGCCCAAGCCACCTTTATGACCATTTACACAATCAGACCCTGCTTTAATTTAGAGCAACCACAGGGCTACACTATGCTGTAGTTGAATGACACAGCCCCTGCAGGCTGTTCCAGCTCCCTGAGATTGCTGGGATGTTCCAGGAATATCCCAGCTCCCTGGACACAGCCCCACACCAGACACTGTGATGAGGTGAAGGGCACAGAACTGTTACGCCAACTCTACACCTCCCAGGGATTCTCCTGGTGCTGGTGAGCCTCTGGGAAAATTCTTATGCCAACTTTTCAGCTCCTAGGTGCTGTTGGAGTGGTACAAAGCAGTTGGAGGTGGGACTAAAGACTTGGCCCCTCACATCAGGACTTGGGTGTAGACCATGGTGCATGTAAAATCCATTTCTTACCAATATGGGGGGAGTAGTTAAGGGGGAGAGCACATGACCTCTCCATGTGACTCCTTACCACCCCGTCACCAGCCCAGGGCCCCCATACTCTCCCTGTCCCCTCCCCATGATCCATTCCATGTTACCTGGAGGGGTGGGGGGCCGGAGACTTCGGGACAGGGCTCTCCCAGGAACCGGAGTGAGGAAAGGAGCAGAAGGAAGGACGGAGATGCAGGTCTGTCGAAGGGCAGGGGGTCGGGCTGGGAATTCTGCTCCTTTCCCCGCTGGGAGGAGCAGCAGTGGGGAAAGGAGCAGAACGCTGGCAGCTCCTCCGGCAGTTGTACTTCCCCCAGCCTCGTGCCCCCACCCCCCAGTCCTGTCCTCCTCCTGCTGTTGTAGTATGGAGACACAGCTCCATGGAAGGGCAGGGGGTGGAGAGAACCCAGAAGAACCTCCAGCCTTCTCCTCTGGAGGGGCTGCTGCTGTGTCTTTCCGGTACGCCATACCAGCTATAAATATCTTGCTGGTATGCCATACTGGAGCGTACCAACATACTTGCACTGCTGGTCTAGACTTTGTATGCCAAGACCCTTGCTTGATGTGCACAGTGCTCATTTTGAGGAGAAAGTTTTGTCCAGAATCTAACAAGCTGCTACTAAGTTATTGGTTTGCTGCAGTGGCAGAGAAACTTCAATGTATTTCCTGCATAGAGTATATTGATTCCCTATGATTTAATACAGATTACCCAGTCGTTTACTGGAGAATTCTTTGAAAAGTGAACTGTAGTAGTTTTGTTCCACAGCTGAACAATATTTGGTGACCAGTCTGTAAAATAACCTGGTTGTCAGTGACCTAGGCCTAAAGATCTTAGTTCAAGTATGGCAGTCTATGGACCTAGAGGTGTAATAGCCTAGTTCTGAAATCTGAGCCAGAGATTGATGGATTTGATAAATGAAAGACATTGCTGTCTTGGGAAGACTAACTGGTAATCATCTTAAAAGGCAAACATTTCCCAATCTTCAGTGATCTGCATTCTGGGTCTTTTTTAAAGCTCATTAAGGTCTTCAGGTTTGCCTGCAATTACTTCTGCCTATTCTGTAAAATGTGCTGAGTATATTTTGTACTTTTAAGCCTGATGTAATGTTGCCTTTTGGATGCTGGTTCTCTGTTTATTTTCTTTTTGGCTCTGAGTGCTATGTACGTTTCTTGCTCTGCTTTTCAATTTTTAAAAGTACTAAACTATTCCCTTTGTGCTCTCATTTGAACAAAGTGTTCTGCATTGCATCTCCTAAACTGTTATGCAATGCTGCTCTTCATTATTAAACAGTTGCGGCATTTCATTCCAAAGATGCTTCATATTAGTTGGTAGATGACGGTCTCTCACCTTCACATGTATGGTTTGTAAAGTCTTTTGGGATAGGAAAGGTGTGATATAAAGATGTCACTAGTTTATATATGGTTGCACCTCTGATTTTTAATACGCCTATTACTTTTTTTCCTAAATGAGAGAGCAAAACTTTCTCCCAAATGATTCAATAAATCATTCCCACTGTCATGCAAAAGACCCATACAAAGTCTTAAATTCTTAACAAGATGAGTTGCATCTAGTTAATGATACAGGATGTAATAGTACTTTTTGGATTTTCTTCTTGCATGGTCCTTCTTCTTAGGCTTAATTAAGGAAACATGGAGATGTTTTTAGCAATTGTAGCACATGTTTCGGCTATGTAATGTGTGTGTATATGCGCACAAAGCAGTGATACTGAAATGATAAAAGCCAACAAAGGAACTCCTCTAATGCTGCTCTGCAAAGCAATGTAGGTCTATTTACTGCATTAATAAAGATTGTGAGTCATAGACGTGGCAGTCAGCTCTCTAATATGTAATAGAGTATGTTATATAATTAGCAGTTTTTCCTTGTTCCAATTTTTAATTCACTCATGTACTTATCGGCCCCTTTTTTAAATTATGAAAACAATAGGGAAAAAGTCAAAACTTCTTTAATGGGAACATTGAATATGCTGGTGATTTCACCCTACATGATGATTTTAAAGGAGGAGGGAAAAAAGGTCAAAGACTTGGCTCTAGACAGACAACAGCACTTCATTTTATTCAGCCTTACCTATAGTGAAACCTGAGTGAAAATGAGGGGCAAAAGAGAACAAGACACTCCTAGGAAGAAGTATAAGTTAGTGCTTTTTCTCTTACAAAGATGTAGTTTGTCCTGCTGCAAGAAGCTTTTGAAAGCTGAGTGATGGGAACAGTTAGTTGGGTCACTTGTCCATAGGTGCAGTAAGAGAGAGAGATTTGGAACTTGGGGGTGTAGGAGTCATGTTGGGAAGAGTGGCCGGGGTGGGGGGAGTTGTCACAGCTGAGAAGGGTTTGTTTTCCTTACTCTAGATGGAGCCCACTTAACCTTTCAGCTGCTCCTCCTCCCTACAGCTGGGACCCACTTCTCCAGCAATGATCCTAATGCCCTCCTCCCTTCCTTGAAAGTTTACTTTGGAGCCCAACTGTGACTTTTGTGAATTCTTTTAAACATATAGGGCAACATTTTCAAAAGTAACTTAGGCACGTAAGAGTCTATTCCCTTGACAGTCTGAGATTTGGGCTTTTAAGTGCCCAAGTCACTTTTGAAAATAGAATTTAGGTGCTTTTGAAAACATTACTCGCAGTGACTCTGTAAATTTGTGGCTGTCCTGTAGTCCTACTGCTACTCCAATGAAAGCTAAGGATATGTCTACACCGCAATTAAAAGCTCCTGGTTGGCCTGTGTCAGCTGACAGGACTTGGACTGAAGGACTGTTTAATTGCAGTGTAGACATTTGGGCTCGGGTTGCAGCCTGAGCTCTGGGACCCTCCCACCTTGCAGGGTCCTAGAACCTGGGCTCCAGCTTGAGCCCGAACACCTGCACTGCAATTATACAGCCTCTTAGCCCAAGCCCCACGAGCCTGAGTCAAGTGAAACAGGCCAGACGCAGATTTTAACTGGGGTGAAGGCATACCCTTAGCACTCCTCTTTGAGAGACTGCCTCTGGGTCAATAGTCCCCAACCTGCAACCCTCCTGTCACACACGTAGCTATGGTATGACTCATCGATGTGACAATCTGTATTGATGCTCATCCAGTATTTTGAACGTACACAAACTTGTGAAATAATAAATGTAAGACTGCATCCAAAGATGTCAAATATATCCTCAGTTCTTCTGCTTACCCTCTTGTTTGAAAGTGGACCCAATTCCGCTGATTCCTCTTAGAATCCCCAAACAATTCTTAAAAATGTCAATGCCAGACAGTAGCACTTCTTTAATAGTCTGAGGCATTTAGCAATATTGTATTTTCCTAATTCATTTGGCTGAATAAAAAGTCTTCATTATTTCCAGAAATGAAATTATATCGACTAAGAACTTCTTTTCTTTTACAAAATTGGCAATACTCATTTAGCCTGTTTTTATCTGTGCTGTATTTATTTTGTAAGCATCTCTGCAGTTTTATTGGCTTTATCCTCTCATTTGCCAGAGCTTTACCATAATATGTGCACTGAGACCTGGGTTCAGTCTCTTCTTCCATAAATGTAAATCTTTATATGGGATTGAGTTACTTTTCTTTATAAAACTTTTCCCTACACAGTAATTGTTCCCTCAGTGTTACGTTTTTGGGCATTGGTAGCAGTGTTATCACTGTCACTCCTTCCAATGTGCTTCCAGTACTTTCTTTCCAATAGAATTTCATTTTTACAATTTTTTTCATGGAAAGAAAATATCTCAAGATTCCCATGAAAGGATTTCATTACTGATGACCGTGGAGCAGAGAGGTGCAGCTTGTGCCAGTACTTGCACTGAATGTTTGTTATTAATTGGATAGTATTCATGCCTAGAGGCTTACTCAGGGGCACACAGGAAGTCTGTGTCAGGGCTGAGAAACAAACCCAGGTTTTTGAATCCTAGTCCAGTGCCTTAACCAGAAGACTATCCTTTCTTTCATGATTATGGACTGAGGCATCAGAAAGGAAAAGTGACAGAAGTCAGACTCTTAAACTGGTTTATTGAAACATATTGTTCCCTTAGTGCTTCAGTTACATTCCATTCTCTCTGCCTTCCTCAGCACATGATCTCTTCTCATCTCCCATACTTCTAGTTGGGTAAGCAGGAAGACATCCTGTTGAGCTGGGTAGAAGCACGTAGGAGAGAAAGAAAAGAAGTAAGAAGATTGAGCTCAAAGAATAC